TTAGATTATCAAAGTAGCTTTGTCGAGCTTGTTGTCGTTTTTTTGGATTCCCATTACTGTTTGATTCTTCTATTAATTGTTGCATAACTAGTTGTTTATCAGCCATTGGTATATTTACAAATTGGGATAGTTGTATTTGTATAGCATCATCATATATATATTGATAATTTCTTTCTCGTTCTGCTATTTTATTTTTATAATATTGTTTAGTAGGTTCTTGTTGTTCTTTATGCCAGTTTAGAAAAGTATAAATCTTTTCTCTTGGTGTTTCATTATCTTGTGTCTCTTTTATTTCTTGTGGTAAAGTTGGTATAGTTTGTATTTGTTGATATACTTCTTCAAGTTTATCTTTAGACATTCGTTGAATTGCTTCATATTCATTTTCTATATTAGTAATTTCTACCATTAATTCTTCTAAATCTTTTACAAATTGTTCATTTTGGGATTCTTGCTCTTGTTTATGTTTTATTTTTTTTATATTTTTATTTAATAACATTGTTATATTTTTTGGTGTTGGCGGTGATGATGTCTTTTTCTTCTTAGTTACTTCTTCGGTTCTATATTTATTTAAGAACTCATTTGTTATTTGTAATGTTTGTTCTCGTTTTTGTTCTCTAATTCTTTTTTGTGATTTTTCTTCTTTAGGGTCTTGGTAGTGTTCCCTATCTTGAATAGTTAGTCAGTTCATTTGTTCTATAAGATCTATTTCTATATCTGGTAGTAGATTTTTTGATGTGTAATCACCAAGCATTGCATCCATTCATTCTTCGATTGATGTATATAGTTCTTTATCTTCGGCTATTAGATCGCCAGCGTATTTTCTGAATATATATACTTCAGTTATTTGTTCTTGTTTTTGTTCATTCATTTTTCCAAGTGTTTCTAATATAGTTGCTTTAGTGTTGGGGTGTTTCATTATCATTTCGAATATTTCTTGGGGTAGTTGTCCTTTTAGTAGTGGTACGTGTATATCTGGCCTAAGCCAAATACTGTTGCTTTTATTACAGTTCACGCTCCACTTGGGTGTTGAAATTTTCTTTCTTTTATTACATTGTTTATATATATTAAATGGATTTCTTTTCCATATTTGTCTAAGACTTCTTCATAGTCTTCTATAAATCTGCTAGCTCCTGTGGCAAAATAGTATTGTGTGTCAAAGCATAGCTTGACTCTTGGTACTTTATTTCCATTTTTATCTTTGAAGTGTTGTAATTCTTTTTTAATGCTTTTTTTTATTTGTATGAGCTCTTCCATATTGGCTTTGTAGCATTTATTTGATGCAGAGTTTTCTAACAGTACCATTACTTTGGTTTCTTGTATTTTTCTAAGTATTTCTTCGAGGTTTAGTTTTATTTGTAGTTTTTCTCTTGCATCTTTATCTGTATTTGATATGCCTATATATAATACATATGTTTTGCTTTCTATTTGTCCTGCGCGCTTGATTTCTTCTATTATTCTGTTTATTTTCCAGTTGAATTTGCCATCGTATTGGAGTTTATTATTTATCGATAATCCTATTGAGGCATGTATTACAATTTTTAATTCTGGTACGTCATTTTCATATCCTTCGAGTAATTTGATTAGTTTGTAGTCATTCGTTAGATTAGGTTTGCCTTTTTTAATGTTATAAAGTTTTTCATATTTTCATCTGAGTACGATTGTTGAGTTGATACATATGTTATGAATGTTTGTATTATATTACTTCTAGTTGTTATTACTGATTGTACTATTTGTTCTGCATTCCCATCACAGGTAATGTCTATGTATTTTCTTCTTTTTAGATTTAATCTACATTGTCTAAGAAATATATTGTACATATTATTTTCTGAAGCTAATTTATTTTGTTCAGGTTGTTTTTGAATACTAAGGGGTTTAATTTTTTGGGGTTGCATTCCTTTTGTTTGTTAGTATGGGACTTGTTGCATTGTTGTTTATTACTTTTTTGGTATTGTGGGTCTGTTGCTGGATAATTGGAGATTGTTGTTTAGTATTGATTTTGTAAAACTGGTTATTTTTGCTGTTGATATACGTGGGTTGGTCCAGGTTTGATGGGTTTTTAAGATCGTTGGTTCTTTTTGGTGATTGGTTTTAATATTTGTTATTTGAGGGTAATTGTTTGGAGAGTTTATTATATTAGGCACCTTGGCACTATTTTTCTTTTGCTTTTGCTTCCAGTTGTTTATCTTATCAAAAAACAGGTTAGGCATGTTTGTACTCAGCATTTTCTCAGGCTTAGAGGTCTTGACCTTCGAGTGGGTTAGTTCCAACTG